CGGTCGATCTGACATGCAACACCAAGGGGGAACCCTAGAAGGGTGTCACAACTGCCAGTAGTAGGTATAAGTCAAGTTGTCGATGTTGAGCGTAAAATGTCGATCTGACGTGCAACACCAAGGGGGAACCCTAGAAGGGTGTCACAACAGCCAGGGGTAGGTATAAGTCAAGTTGTCAATGTTGAGGGTGATATCAAAATCAATGAAACTGACATGGCACATGATTGGTTGACCAGGGAATTCGGCATTTGCTGACTGAACCTCAAGTGGCACCGCGAGCGCTAGCGAGCGGGTTACTGCTAGTTCCTGTATTCTCTTCTCTTCTTTCTGCATTTACCTCATCACTTCTTTCTGCTAAGAATCCTTGTTGTTTTTTTAACTGTCCCTCTAGTAATTCTTTTTGGAGAATCGTCATGTCTGACGTAAGTAATGATGACATCCCTAACCCTCATCTTCGATTTCCTCCTCGTCCTGCAATGATTTCTGTGAGAATTCCTCTAAAAACGATTTTCCTGGCTGACAATATCCTTTTTTTGGTGACAGAATGAATCTTGAAACAATCCCCTTCAGGAACCTTGCGAAGGGGGTTCCGGAAATGAACTACCCCCTCCCCTGTCGACGATAATAGGAGCGTCCGCAACTGAACAAGAACCCCCTCTACCTTCGACAATGGTGACTCCAGTCCCTGATGGGGATATTTCGTTTGGCTCGGTCCCCATCCAGACTCCTGTGGGACAACAAGTCTCGTATCGTACACTAATTGATTGTACTGGAGGACGGGGCCTCGCGTCTGGTATACCCGCCCCCTATGTTTCCGACGGGGAGATTGTGGTTCCCAAGGATGGGGGACATCAAAATTCGTATTGTGACGCCGAAGTAATCGCCATTCAATGTCGAAGTCCTACAGCACAGGTGAATATTTCCGTGCACCCCTTTGCGAAAAGCTAAGTGTATGGTAAGGATTCCTAAAGTACTTGCAAGCGTGGCCGATTTGAAAGCCGAGTCAACTAAGGAGAAGGTCAAGCCGATAATCAACCTCCTTGAAACGCCAAACGCTGTCATCGGTCGATTAGTGAAGCCATGCTCACAATGCGAGGAAATGTTGAATTTGAGAAAGGCCCGGTGGTCATCAAAAATGTCTAAGTGGCATTGTCTAGTTCCCATTGTGAAATTACCAGGGTTCTGATAAAGTGTGGATCGCAGGACAGTGAGTGCTGGAAGAATTTCGGAAAGGCCTAGTCGCTAACGTCGAAGTTGCTTTTGGTGCCTCATGGACAGGGGTACATGTAATCTCTGTACCGACTCCCAGTTGGACCCTGGTCCCAATTGAAAATCTTCACGGCCCAACACGCGACCCTCTTTCCCCATCTCGATTTGGCGTTGGCGCATCTAGCGGAGGCGCATAATCATTCAAAAGGTCATCCCAATTGCGAATACCAACATATCGACATCGCTTACTCTGAAGTGTGGAAGACCGCGGTAGTGGGTCTATCAATTTTCAGGGGGGTCATTCCGCTAACGGAGGAGGCTATTGACACAGCGAAAATACAGGGTGAAGACAAGCGACTTCCTGGGCGCCCTTTTGAAGAATGGTCCTCGTATCGTTTAGGGGATGATGTTGATGTTGGGTCCTGGATGTTCGAACCTGCGCGGCCTACCTTGAAGCGAACGGTAGAGCCTCTACCAGCCGGGACATCGTCCACCCCTCGCGCGAAAAAGACCAAGACGCAAAAGGGAAAGAGTGTGAGAGTACTCCGCATACGGATGAAGATATTGTACCGGAGTGGGACTCCGCAGATTAGGGGGTGTTGGAGTCACCAAGGGTGTACAAATCTTGGAGTGGGGATCTGTGAAATCTATTTTGGTGAAAACGAATCTGTAGTGTAGCTAGAATGATTTTGTGAAACATGTAACCCTTTTCTGTCTTGAGGAAGTATCAATTGTTCTTGGTGTTTCTTCGAAGACCTATAGGGTCTCCGAAAAAAGCGACCTCTCAGTCGTTTCCTTTGTCGTTTAGCCGTAAGATGGCAACGCAATCCTCGTTCACATTGTCGGCTACCACACTGCGCATTTCGCAATTCTTCAAGTACTCCTCGACTTTGGGACTACCCCTAATGGGATCCATCGGTTGCCAAGTTGCTTCTTCTATTGGGAACCCCACCCATTTGATCTTCAGTTGGACTTCCTTTTTCCCTTTGCCGGGAACACAAATCGTTCTTTTCACAAGGACCTTGTCAATTTTGTATGTGTCCTCTTCAGACCCTTGGGAGGTATCTCTCAAAGCTACAAGGGCAAGCTGTGGATCTTTGATATGTCCCTGAACTTTTGACAAAAGCTTGATATTGAAAACTGGGTGTATACCTTTTGCTAATAGATGTGGGGGCAGATCAACTTTGTAAGCATTGTTGTTGATTTTCTTCAGGATCCTATAAGGACCAATATACTTGTTATCCAGTTTCTTCATGGGTCTCAACGTCCTGAGATTTCCGCTGTCAACTCAAACCTTTTCCCCCTTATCAAAAATGGCTGCTTTATGACCCTTGTCGTATTGGTGTTTATACGACTTTTGAGCTTTTTGAAGATTTTCCTTTAGCCTTTCCTGGAGTTTACCAAGGGCGCTTACGCGTGCGATAGCCGGTGGTGAAGTGTCAAGGATACTGCCCACCCTGGGACAGAGGACAAAGGACAAGGGGACAAGGACTAGGAGTGACAAGGAATATACTTAAAATAACAAGATTGAGTCCAACAAGGAATGGGACTGTGACCCAAGGAATGTCTCTGGCTTGTCTTACAAGGTTAGAGGGAACTGGACTGGACTCCAAAAGGGTGGCAATGGAAATGACTTTTGATCAAGAACTAAAGAAGGCTACAAAGTACAAGATAGGGTTCATATAGACAAATCAGCCTTTTCCAAGAGGCTCGTGCAGACCTGCGGAATACAAGCGCTCTGAACCGTTCTGCACTGTCCTGCATGCATTGCCTTGCATCCCACCGATAACCACTGATATCCTACCATGCCATATCTGCGTTTACCTACGTCCTACTATGACATCCTACGGGATGCGCCGGAAGTCGCTCAACTTTGTCGAAGGTGGTTGATGAGGAACTATGCAGAACATAGAAGTGCTGCAAGAACAAGAGACTGAGAGATTGTGCCTTAGCAGGCATTAGAACAGAGGGACTAGAGACTCGAGAATTACTGGGGACTTATGCCTTGCAGGCATGGGAGCTAAGCACCGACATACTAAAATGATACTTGGAGTTTATGCCTGACAGGCATGAGAGCAGAGGTGAAATGTTAAAACACAAAAGTGGAGGTTGAACTTGTTTTGCGCAACAAGGAACACGTGATGGTGTGATTCATGACATGAAGGCAGGTCTGTGCTGTGGCTTTATCAAAAATGGGTTGCTTCATGTCGGTCCTGTACTCCCTGCCTGAGTAAGCAGAAAGTGGAGACATTTGAATTGAACTATGATACATCGTGTTATAACAGAGCTCCGCGAAATGTAGAAGCGAGCTCCAGTTGTCTTGTTCCGTATTGACGTAAATGCGCAGGTACTGTTCTAGCCATTGGTTGATCCTTTCAGTTTGGCCATCCGTTTGTGGGTGGTATGCAGTGGAATAGCGTAGATCTGTACCCAATAACGTTGTTGATGTTTTCCAAAACCTTGAAACGAATATACTGCCTTGGTCTGAGACAATCGAATCGGGGATTCCAAATCTAGTATAGACCTTTTTGATAAATAGGTCTGCAAAGTCCTCAGCTGAAAAAGTGGTTACCGTAGGAATGAATACGGCCATTTTTGTGAGACGATCAACTACGACGAGGATGGAATTGAAATCGTTGGAACGTGGTAGGGGTCCGATAAAATCACAAGTGATTTCTGACCAGGGGGCTCAGTGTAACGGTACTGGAAACACGACGACTAAGTCGCAGGTTAGGTCGAACTCGATGGAAGTCTGGTAGAAGTCTAGGTGTCTCTGGTGCTAATGGATCGTGTCTCCTCTGCAATCGATGTAGCCAAAGAATGATATTGAAGAATCAGCAAAGTTGGTACTTTGCTGATTGTACTATATACTGTCTACAGGCATCCTTGTCCTTGTCCTTGTCCTTGTCCTTGTCCTGCTGCAAGCGTCTACGTACATACTCAGACAGGTGAAAGACCGGTTTTGAGCAAACCCAGTGGGGAAATCTCGAAAAGGGGAAAACCCGTCCCTACCTACTGCAGCACTGCCTCCAACTCCCGCTTTCCTCCATCCTAATCCGTCGAACTTGATAGAGTTCTCTCGATTTGTTGTTACCCCGTAACAAGTTTCCCCCCCTGTCTCAAGGATCCTCAGCGAGGATCCTGAATCCTGTAACCAGGTGATGCACATGGATTGTTCTAAGACACCTTTGGTGCGCCCTGACATCACACCCACGCTAGTGTGACGGTTGCCATGAAACGTGTCACCCGCACGGACCTCCAACGTGATCGAGAAATTACTGACCAAGCTACCTCCCTGTCTTCTTTCTTCTTTCCTCCTCATTCCCACTTTACCTCTTGTTTGTCGTTCTCTCTTACTCATCTATCATTATCCATCCATATCTTACTTATATCTTAGAGTATCATTCTAACTCTCTCCTGTTCGTAAGCATGTCCAAACGTACTGTAAGCAACTTCCTTCAAACTTGATGTACTTCTTTCCATTTCTCACTGGCTGACGAGATTAGTTGTCTCCTTCGTCTTCTACTTGTCGGACTTGGGCCTCTACCACGGCAATGTTACCCAATGTCGACCCCGAACTCATCATGTGCCAGACAAAACAAATGAGAATTACTTCTCAGGCTACTGGTTCCGGCCAAACTCCCACGGTTGACGCTTCTCAAAGGGCTCTCGACAATATTAAGGATTGATATCAATCCGGCCCTTCTCGTACTCAACCTTCCTTGTCGCCTCTGGATCCGGCAACCTTCGAACAATACATAGATTTCGAAGGTGGGGCCGAGCCCGCCACTGATGAGAACCCATCTCCTGCCAAGTTTGTCGAGTCCAAACACGGTACCATCGTTCTGAACCCAGACTCTCCCGGTAAACAACCCGCTGGCCCTCCTTCTGAGGCTTCCGACGAACTTGTGGAGGTTCCCGAGGAGCTCGGTGAAATCTTTCACGCCCCTCGCAAGGTTCCCGTCAACCAGGAACTGGTCAAGTTGCTCGCGGATCAAAAAGACTCCGATATTGGTGAGATTTCCACCGAGTTCTGTCCTGTTCTGACTTGTTAGCTACCCTTTGGTCCAGCATGACCTTCTCATCTGTTTGTCTTGCGTTGAAAGACGAAGCCCTTGATCGTTTCCGCAAAACCAAAGCCATCAAGCCCACTGTCAAGTGGTTTGGAAACGCGGTGAGCTTCGAATTCTCTCAAGTTCCATTGATCCTAATGGTTTAGCTCGATCGTTTGGCCCAAGGTTGGCGTCTTCGCGTACAACTAGAGGGTGAGCTCTGTACCAATTGTCAACGTCGTCTCGACGGTGGTGAAGATTTTCATGTTGGTTGTATTGGTCCTCGTGAGTCCTTTGTTACTACTCGTTCGATGTTGATGCAGTTCAGTCGGTGGTGTTTGCGGCGAGTGTTCTGCTAAGGGAACTTTGAAGTGTTCAGTGAAGAACAACAATCCCGAGGCCAAATTTCGTGAGGTATCTGTCTCCTACCTTTGAACTTGATTGATGTTGTTGTATAGGGTGTTACCGTGGGAGCAAGGACGGTCACTTCCAAGGTTACCTTTGTCCTGGAGCATGAACTTTGTGCCGTCTCGGCTCGTTATCGATCCCTTTCTTCCCAGGATCAATCCGCCTCTCTGACCCAGCTCTCTGGCTACATCCATCTCTTCTCCTCCCTTCTCCTTCCTCTACCTCCAGTACATCTGGATCTTTACAAATCTCTCCATCTTATTTCCGCCACCTATTTCCCTCCTTCTCTCGATGAGTCTCTGGATCATCTTACCTCCACTGGTGATTCTACTGGATTGACTTCTTCTCAACCAGTTGCAGGTCCTTCCTCCTCTCCTCACACCCCTGCTCCCCGCAACATTATCCGCATTCCCGCCTCGGTTCGTCGCCTCCGAGCCGATTCCAACGCTTCCATGGAGTAGCGTATTCACATTCCTTTAATTTGTAGACAGATTCCCTGTGTATGTATTTATTTCTGACCGAGTTTTACTGACTTTGATCGAATTCTCACTTCCTTCTAGGGTCCTTCCTTCTTTTCTCTAAGAATTCATCGAAAACCCCCAGTTCCTCCACATTTTCTCGTGGCTCCCAGTCATAGGCCGCATTTCCTGTGTATCCTAGCCATTTCACCTTGAATTCCTCTTTTCCCCGTTGAATTCTGCTGTCCACAATCGCGTCCACATGGAATTCTTCCTGACCATTAATTACCACAGGTGGTGGGGGCTTCATCTGTTGACCTGGTATCATATCCTTAGGATATGGTTCCAACAGCGTCACATTGAAGACATTGTGCACTCTCATTGACGGAGGTAGATCCAATCCGAAGGCGTTCTTTTCTACCCTCCTCTTACTCTTGAAAGGACCAACATATTTTGCTTCTAATTTTCGACTTGGTCGTTCGGTAGTCAGATACTTTGTACTCAGCAGTACCTGTTCTCCTTCTCTGAACTCTTCTGGGATGCTCTTGTGTCTCCTGTTGTAGTACTCTCCACTAATCTCGTTCGCCACTCTGACTTGCTCCTGTACTGCCGCATGTAGTTCTCCCATATCTTTCCATTTCTTCTCCAATTTGTTCGATTTTGATCAAAATCGTGCAAATGGATGTCGTAGTGTGGTACATAGCCGTAACACGCTTCGAATGGGCACAAACCATGGCTACTATGTGGCAAACAGTTATAAGCAAACTCGGCAATTGGTAAAAGTTGATCCCAATTGTCCAT